TGTAGCAGTAGTAGTTGTGGTAGTAGCAGCACCAGTAGCAGTAGCAGTAGCAGTAGCGACCGTAAGGGGCGCCGGTGCCACAGACCACCACCGAGGGCCCGGTCCTTTCCAGACCTTCTTCCAGGCCCACTGCGCTGGGAATGGCAAAGTAATCTTTGACTTTGTCGTGGTTGGAGACCTTAATCATGGGTTTCCCTACCTCCCCCCCCTCTACACTACCCCCCGTCTAGGCTCCCCCCCTTAAAACCCTTCATTAGGCTTAGTAATCCCGAAGTAGCCTTCACGTTTAGGGATTATAGTCGGGGGTACTAGAATCCCTATGAAGGACTGTTAGTATAAGGGGGAACATCCCAAACCTTAACCACTGAACCCTCAACCTCGAAACCCTACCATGATCCCTCAACGCCATGCCCTATCTAGAGGCTCAGAAACCCCTGAAGCAGTAGGTCGTTTGGGGGAACCAGGGCGCACGTCGAAAGATATTGAAAAGTTGGCAAGAACCTCATCCCCCCGAGAAATGTTAGCGACATTTGCGCGTACCTCTAGTTACAACTTTTGAATCCTCGCAATTCCTCACAAGCGCGTGTGAAGGGTTCGCGCACAGAAGAGTGGCAGCAGAGAGACGGTGGCACCAAAGCGCAGTGTCCGGTCAGCTTGAACCCCACAAAAAACATGCAGCGAGTGTTCTATCATTGTTAAGGGTTTAGGGTCTATAGGGTTTAGGGTTTAGGCTTGACTGGGTTTAGAGCTTAGGGTTAGGCCGTTAATGTCTCAATCTGCGCGCGCATGCATGTATGGGTTTTGAGTACACAGGCGGGCAGCAATCGTGGCGAGGAGAAGGCGTGCACTGTCCGGTGAGACTCAGACAGAGCCCTCCGAAAATGGTATCTTTCATGTATGGGTTTCGAATACACCTACTCTGTGCATCAAAAAGGCCACTGCAGTGAAACTTTTGAGTATCTCTGAATTGTCAATCCATGCGTCAGCACACGTGGATTTCGAGTGCATTAAAGCTGGTCGGCAGAGAGATGGGGGGCATGGCGTAAAAGTGCACTGTCTGGTCAGACCTAAACCCTAAACCCTAAACCCTAAACCCTAAACCCTAAACCCTAAACCCTAAACCCTAAACCCTAAACCCTAAACCCACCAAAAGAAGGCATCCCTATGGTCGTCAGTCACGAATGTCGCTAAGGAAGTTGCTCAGGAGTTTATTGTTCTTGCAGTAAACCCTATACATGGTAGCCCAGTAACTATATTATGATAAGGACACCCTTTTTGGGGGGGAAACCATAAACAAAAAAAGGGTAAAGGGCACCACTGGGCTACTACCAAGTATATGTCATTCAGTACTGTTTGGATGTACCGAAAGACGCTCTTGATCCAGGCAGGCATTACTTCGGTGTGCCTTCGGGTTTTGGGGCTGAGGGGTTTAGGGTTTAGGGTTTAGGGTTTAGGGTTTAGGGTTTAGGGTTTAGGGTTAGGGCATACAAGGTTATTCACCGCGGGGGGGGGGGGGGGGGGGGGGGGGGGTGGGCGTATCTCGGTTACTCTGTCGTGAACAAGCCAGAAAACGTAATTCTTGAAACCCTAAACCTAAACCCTAAACCTCAAACCCTAAGGGCAACCGTCTAGGGCGGCAGAGCCTCCAGGGCTCAGGTGTGGTGAGAAGACTGGTCTATTTAGGGTTTAGGGTTTAGGGCTTAGGGTTTAGGGTTTAGGGTTTAGGGTTTAGATGAAAGTACATACATCTAACCGCGAGCCTGGCAAATATTTTACTCTGCAAGTAGGGCGTAGTTAGTTAGGCATTGCAACACCAACTCCTAATTTCTCCAATAGAAACCGTACATAAATACTCGTTGACATTATGATGTTGCAAACCCTAAGCCCTAAACCCTAAACCCTAGACCCTAAACCCAAATCTGTACAAAAGAAAACAGGCATCCAGAACTTCATCGCCCACGAAGCGGGTTCAGGGGCTTAGGAAGTTTGAGACTTTGGGGTTGGGGGGTTTAAGGGCTAAAGGACTTTCGCCCTGTCCGTCCTAAACTCCAAACCGGAAAGGAAGCCGAAAACATTGACCTAAGTCCCCTAAACCCTAAACCCTAAACCCTAAACCCTAAACCCTAAACCCTAAACCCTAAACCCTAAACCCTAAACCCTAAATGAAATTCCTCACCACCTATAGTGAGCCCAGCAACGGCAACCTCGGCCTCGAATCTGGCTGGCTGCCTCAAGAAGTCCCCAGAGGGCGTAAGGGGTACGTAGGGTTGAGGGACCCAGGTCCTCCTATAGAATATAGGGTGTAGGGTTAGGGTTCTAGGGTTTAGGGTTTAGGGTTTAGGGTTTAGGGTTTAGGGTTTAGGGTTTAGGGTTTAGGGTTTAGGGTTTAGGGTTTAGGGACTAGGGCTTAGGGTTTAGGGCGTAGGGTTTAGGGTTCCGAAAGCCTAAACCCAGAAATCCTGGATGATGGAAACAAGGCAGTTCAAAAGGATGGTGCGCCCTGAGAGGCCTTGATAACCTTTCTGCTGGAAAGTGGCTGTTTGGGGTTTAGGGTTTAGGGTAAAGGGTTTAGGGTTTAGGGTTTAGAGCTGTGATCAAGCCGAGATAAGAGTGCGCACAGAGAAGGCAGACACCGGTATAGAGCCATTCACCATGTCGTAGAAAAGCGACACACATACAAACAGACAGACAGACACACAGAAATACAGACACCCTAATTAAACCCCAAACCCCAAACCCCAAACCCCAAACCCCAAACCCTAAACCCTAAACCCTAAACCACACACACACACACCAAACCCCAGACCCTAAAGGCTGTAGACCCTGAACGAGAGCTGAATCCAAAGGCGGCTGGCATGTCGACATCATGCCGTGGAGAGCCCATGGCGTGGGCCACGGCAGCAGCAAGCTTGTTGACCTTCGTGGACCCGAAACCTGAACCCTAAATTCGAAACCCTAAACCCTAAACCCTAAACCCTAAACCCTGAACCCTGAACCCTAAACCCTACCCCCTCACCCCTCAACCCTCAACCCTAAACCCTAATTAAACCCTAAATCCGACCTGAAGGCTCGAATGTAGTTCCTTAAGTCTTGGGTTTGTGGTAGGGGGCTATTGCTTTACCACCCTTACCCTTGAACCCCGCCCCCCTCGCCCGGACCAGGCAGGCCGTCTCCGAAGATGATCTCACCACGGAAAGTGGTACCCACAGCCCCGAACTGGGTGGTTTAGGGTTTAGGGTTTAAGGTTTAGGGTTAGGGTGTAGGGAAATAGGACACCCTAGACATTGGGGGTGAGGGAACCGAAACGATGTTGGCCCCAATCCCAACCAGGGAAATATCACACATCACAAGGGCCTACCCCAAACCCTAAACCCCTAAACCCCAATTTTCAAACCGTCCAGGTCCTACAAGCCTACAAAGCCTTGGGGGTTCAACCCGAGAGGCTTCGGGTTTGCGGGGTTTCGTTGGTTGTTTTTTTGCTTTTTTCAGGCGGTTCTTGTTTTTTTGGGGGGTGGTTTTCGAGTGTTTTGCAGGGCTTTGTTGGAAGGCCTATGGCTTCACTCGTCACGGGACGACCCAAGATGTGGGAGGTTTGCTGGTCTAGCAAAGGGGGAGGGTGAGGGTTTAGGGTTGCAAGCCTTCCTCACCGCAATAAATTTTGAGGGGTTAGGGTTTAGGGTTTAGGGTTTAGGGTTTAGGGTTTGGGTTACTGGGCTTGATAGCAGAGGCGGTCTGCAGCCCAAGCGCTGTGTACGGCACGTCGGCGCCCACGTTGAAGATTTCGTTTCCTGGGATTAGGGTTTAGGGTTTAGGGTTTAGGGTTTAGGGTTTAGGGTTTAGGGTTTAGGGTTTAGGGTTTAGGGCGCCCTGAACCCCACAGAGGCCCCAAACCATAGCATTGCTCCAACATGCTCCAACTCCTATTAGCCCTGCAAGCACTGGCCCTAAACCCTAAACCCTAAACCCTAAACCCTAAACCCTAAACCCTAAACCCTAAACCCTAAACCCTAAACCCTAAACCCTAAACCCTAAACCCTAAACCCTAAACCCTACACGGGATCCAGGGCGTTCTGCGCCCAGGCGCTGGCCTTTGGCACCAGAGGCCCACGCGCGATGATCGGGGCCACGTCGTCGATGTAGCTGAAGGCCCGAATCTGCTCGCCTCGCGGCTTGTGATTCAGGGTTTAGGGTTTAGGGTTTAGGGTTTAGGGTTTAGGCTTCAGGGTTCAGGGTTATGAGTTAAGGCTAGGGGGGTTTGGGGTCGAGGCCACTGTGGCCGAGACCTCCTTTGAGTTCCGGGTTGCGTTGACATGGGTAGTTGGGTTTCGGGGGAAGGAGGTGAGGTCCGGTTCCTAAACCCTAAACCTAAACCCTAAACCCTAAGCCCTAAACCCTAAACCCCGAACCCTAAACCCTAACCCTAAGTTTCATTTCGGGATCGTTTGAAAGGCGCCTGTTCCGAAGATCGTCATCGGCAGGCCGTGGAAAATCCTGGTTTCGGGGCTTGGGGTTAGGGTTTAGGGTTGAGGGTTGAGGGTTGAGGGTTGAGGGTTTAGGGTTTAGGGTTAGGGTTTGGAGTTTAGGGTTAAGGGTTTAGGGTTTAGAGTTCAATTAGGGCTCAGGGGTTTAGGGTTTAGGGTTTAGGAGGGTTGGAGGTTTATCGTTGGGGGTGCAGCTGGCATACGGGCCCACTCTGGGTCTTAGTAACCCTAAACCCTAAACCCTAAACCCTAATGTAAACCTGAAGATGACTTGTGTACCTGGACCCGCACTCATCCCGCAAGCATTCCCCCTTGAAGGTCAACCCGACGCAGAATTTGCGATAAATGTGTACAGGTGTGAACGAATCCCGCCGGAAAGGCACAAGAGAAGCTGCTGGATAGCAAAAGGGAGAACGTGCGCCGAGCGCATGTGGATAGGGTAGCGCGCCAGTGGCAGCGTTGCCCCTTAAGCTGTCACTGGTAGCGGAGCTCGTACGCTCCAGTCTTTGGGTGTGAAACATGTCGGCCGATGACCCTTGGGCAGCCTACTGGGCCGGTGGCCCGTCTAGAGGCGCTGCTGCAGACCGGCCAGATGGAAACGAGACCACTGCGCAAATCCCTACACCCGCCGAAGCCGGCGGACTCCGTGCGGAGCAACCCCCAGTCCAAGCAGACTCTGAAGAGAGCACGACACTTCAAGATGAACGGCTGCCTCGGGAGCATGATGCTGAACGCCAGTCTGCAGACTGGAGTACATGGGAACGGCGTCATGATGGACAGCCACCTGGACAGGAGGGCTGGCGGAGCGACACCACAAGCAATGGCTCCGGAGATGGATGGAACCGCTGGATGTCTGGTGATAGTGGACAGTCATGGAAGTCGGCCACGTCAAAAGGGCGTGTCTGGTCAGACGAAGAATGGAAACAGTGGAATGACTGGTGGTATTCCCGGACTTCATCGGCGGCTACAGGCGGCGCGGCGGCTGACGGGCGCGGCAGCGGCGGCGCTCCATCTCCTACCTCGGGCCCCTCGACTCCTACCCGATCCGGAATGGCCTCGACGAACGCACCAGTCGTGATGACAGAGGTCCCCGCTGCCACAAAGGGGCCTTCGGAAAAACTCCTGACCCCCACGTTCAACGGGGAGGGAGACGCAGCAGAGCTGGGAACCTCGGCTCGGAGCTACTTGAGGCAAATCGCTGCCTGGGAGCGGATGACGAAGTTGTCCAAGGGACAACAAGCCCTCGTGCTCTACCAAAACCTCCAAGGACTGGCGTGGGTGAATGCGGAGTCATTGAACGTGGAGTCCCTGTCTGGCGAGGACGGCGTCACCTACTTCAAAGAATGGATTGTCCAGCACTACCTCGACGTCGAAGTCACCTCGGTCGGGCGATCTCTGAGCGACCTGTTCCGCAAGCTCCGCAGGAAGAACAACCAGACTTTCCGGGACTACACGGCCGAGTTCAATCGTTTGCTGTCTCGAGTGGTGGAGTGCGGCTGCACTCTTCCTGATGTGGCGACGGCATGGCTTTTCGTGGACCGGGCATGCCTCGATGAAGCCACCGAGGTGAGCCTGCTGGCGAGCGTGGGCAACAAGTACGCTCTTCGTGCCCTACAACAAGCGGCGATCATCTTGGACAGGTCCATGCGCAAGCCGTGGGAAAAGCCCGGGAAAGGAGACGGACGTCGCAACGGCTACAACACTGTGAATGTGGCGAACCATGGGGAAGACGACGACGAGGATTCGGACAGCGACGCCGGCGACCTACTCGAGAACGAGAACGAGGCCGACCTCTACGTTGCCTACATGACCGCCAAGGCCAAGTACCGGGAGGTGGCCAAAGCTAGGGGGACTGATACAGATCCCGCAGGCACCCAGCGCGCCATCGAGGACAAGATTCGTACCGCCAAGTCCAAGAGCAGATGTGCTGCATGTGGCAAACGGGGCCACTGGCATCGCGACCCACAGTGTCCGAAGCGGCAGGAGGAGAAGACGGCTGCCTCCTCGAAGCCCAACACGATTCATGTCACCAACGAGATCATGGAGCTGACGCCCATTGCCAACCACGAGGAGTTGCTGGCCATCCTAGATACCGCGTGCTCGAAGACGGTGGTGGGCACGGCCTGGCTTCAACGCTACCTCCAGCATACCCGGGGAGGCGGCTATGACGTCGAGTTCATCTACGAGAAGGACGCCTTCAAGTTCGGGGCCGCTCACAAGATCTACGAAGCCAACTACGCTGCAGTGATCTTTGTGGTCATCGGTGGAACGTGGGTGGCCGTGAAGGCCTCCGTGATTCACGGGGACATCCCTCTCCTGATGTCAAGGTCCGCCCTGGCCGAGATCGGCCTCGTCCTCGATCTCTCCGAGAACACCGCCGTCTTCAAGAAGATTGCAAGTAACGAAGTGAAGCTCAAGGCCACTCTGAGCGGGCACCCCGCTGTGTGCGTGGACCACAAGGGCCAGGCGAAATTAACCTGATGTGACGCGTCTACCAAAGACGTGGCCAAGTGCCGGGATTGCAGTGCTTCGTCCGCGCGAGGTTTACATGGTAGGAGCCTTGAGGGAGAGTGAGGGCGCTAGTGGACCCAGTAGACCCCGCATCTTCTATGAGAAGCCGATTAACCCAGCTGTGAGGGAGCTCCTTGTCGGCGATCGCCTTAACCCCGACACTTTCCTCGCATGGTGGACCTCCTCCGACCTCAAGAGTGATTTCTGGCTGGAGCTTGGGGACAAACTAATCAGAGTTCACGTTACCCCCAGGAAGACCTTCTTTGATCCCCGAAAGTGGACATCGCAGAGTTTGCAGCGATCTTTGCTACTCCAATCCCTGGGCAGCATACGGGAAACGTGGGGAGTTGCTTGTGTCGGTAGAAGAGCCTTGAGCACCGTGAGCGAATTGTGGGAGCATGCTGAACAGGGTAGCTACCCTGTGCTGTGGGTTGGCCGCAGTGTGTTCAATCGAGCTAGCGACCCGCTACCTCCCCGACCACTCCTGTCACATTTGCCGCGGCATGAGCCAGGCGCCGCCGCCGATATGGAAGATGAACAAGGTCCAACTCCAACAAGAGTGCGGTCGACGGGGCCTGGCAATCAATTCGAAGTGGACCGTGCTGGAGCTACGCGCCATCCTGGCCAACAACAAGGACGAGGCGGACCCGACCACGGAGAAGATCAAAGGGTTGGCATCTATGACGCTGGTGGAGCTGCAAGCGGAAGCCGGCCGCCTGGGCATTCCCGTGGGCACCAAGGAGTCGAAGGGATCCATTATGCTGAAGATCAGAGACACCCAGGCGCCCGAGGAAACAGTGATGACGCTGGGACGCTTTCGCGGCACCGCCTACCCCGAGATTCCGGAGAACTACGGGGCGTGGGCGTCGGAAGAGGAGCGCCAGAACGGGGACAACATGCATCCCGACCTGAAGAGATTTGTGGTGTGGCGCCGATTGTCCAGGACAAAGAAAGCAGAGAAGGCCGAGAAGGACAAGTTGCGGGAGAAGACGCCGAAGTTCTTGGAACCCGAGGAAAAGGCCAAGGTTCCGCCACCTCCGGTGAGCGAGACCGGGAGCACCTCCAGCTCCCACTGGTCAGTGGTGACCTCAGCTGCCGGGAAGAATCTCCATCGCCACCACGACACGGGCTACGCACGCCAGAACCTCTCGAAGCTCGACCGCAAGGCCACCCAGATGGACGACCACGGAACCCAGAAGATGGAACAGGAAGTGGATCGGTCCGTGCTGAACGAGATCCAGGCGCTCGAGACCCGCCTAGCGGCCCTGCGGGACGCCCATGGCCTGGATCCAGAACACTAGGGAGCTCCCGGCGGGGCGACATCCACACCACCACTGCCGGGGAGGACGCTGGAGAGACCGCACACGATGCGTACCACGAATTCGATGTTTTTGAATCCTGCTCTTCTGGTTCGGAAGACTGGAGCCAGAAGCATTTCGCTGCCCCGGCCGATTTCAAGGAGGCCTGGGTTGCAACTGCTCACTTGGGTGAGCAAGCCGCGCGGAACGCCAGACTCGAAGGAGACTACTGCCCGGAGACCATCGCTGCAATCCTGACAAAGTATGAGTTCCCCGATCAAGGAAAGCGTCGCCAAGGAATACACGGATTAGGTGGTGGCACCCGTTGCACGCTCGGATACTATGCCCACGGGAAATTCCACGGCATCTGCAAGAAGACGCTGCGGTGGCCCGAACTCGTGCAGTATCTCAACGGGTACCTGAAACAGTTTGACTCCGAGCCTCACGATCGCCGACCTTCGTGGACGTCTTTGTCCATCGTCCACAACTTGCCATGCAGCATGCACGTCGACCGGAACAATCTCAAGGGGAGTCGGAACTACACCAGTTGTGTTGGGAAGTTCAGCGGCGGACAGCTATGGGTTGAAGCACCCGGCGGAGGACTGTGGCGACGCGACCAGAATGGTGAAGAGGAGATCGAAGGAATGCCACTGGATGGATACAACAAGCTGTGCTGTTTCGACCCCCGACGTCGTCACATGGTGGAATCCTGGAGTGGTGACCGTTGGTCCATCACCGGTTTCACAGCAAGATCTTTTCCCTCAGCTACCAAGGAGGAAAAACGGATCCTCCGCAACGCCGGGTTCGCCCTGCCCACCAATGCGGAACTCCGGAAGTGGAATGACGAGGAGAAGATGGCAGAGCACCCTTCCTCGACTACGTTCTCATCACGGCCTGGCTCGACGAATGAGATGTCTGTGCCCCGCAGTCGACGAAAGAAGTTGCTCAAGAATGCCGGGGCGCTGCATGTCATGATGGTGACGGCCCTTGCCGTCATGACTCGCGTTGGGGAAACCTACGCGACTCCCCCAACGCTTCCGTCGATCTCATTGCTGGAAGTCGGTGGGGTTTCCGCGACCTGCCGACTGGCGGAGTATGGGGGCAACCACATTCAGGTCGCTGAGCCCATCCTTCTCGAGGATCTGATTGAGAACGACCATCCGGAAGATGTCGGTTTCGGATATGTGGAGACCGCGGTACTTCGCGCGGAACCAGGAGAGCTCTGGGTGCACGTACGGAAAGAATGGGCTGATGATGGGATCTATGATGACGTCATGGAGGCGGTAGACACCCAACTCCGCGCTGGACGCGGGGTTGTATTCCAAAAGGACGATCGTGATGATGGACATGAGGCGTTTTGGACCGACGTCACGTGTGGATGGGAGGATGTGGGCTACCAGGTAACCCACGACTATGACTACGGAGACATTGAGTATGTGCACGTGAAGGCCGTCGAGAACTTCAACGACGTCCACGAGGTCTTCGTCGGCGAGGGTGGCGAAAATCGCGAGGATGCTTTGCAAGAAGGTGGCGGAGAGTCCGGGCCTCGAGACCCCAATGCCGTCGGGGGACGCGAAGAACGAGGAGCCAGAGCGATAAGGTTTCCGCCCAGTGTACCGAAGATCGTGGCCTCCAGCTTGCGTCGCCTCCACCAAAATCTGGGGCATCCGAGCACCTCCGACTTCGTCCGGCACCTACGTCTGGCCGGTGCCAAACGTGAGGTGCTGAAGGCTGCCAAGATGTTGGAGTGCCAAACCTGTCAACGTTCCCAGGGGCCCGGCACAGCGAAACCCGCAAAGGTTCTGTCATGCTTGAAGTTCAACGAGGCCATCGGGGCGGACCTGTTCTACTGCCATGATGCCGAAGGGAAGTGCCACCAGTTTCTGTCCTTGGTCGATTTCTCCTCCGGCTACCACGTCGTTACACCCGTTGCCCGGAAAGACACCACTCACCTTGAGAAGGCCTATTGCGACTCGTGGCTCAACGTCTTCGGTGCCCCGGCCTTGATTGTGGTGGACCTGGAGAACGGCTTGGAAAAGGTTTGAAAAGGCATTCACCCGGATCGGAGACTACACGGGCACCCGACTGAAACGAGCCGCCGGACAAGCGCACTGGCAAGCTGGATTCGCAGAGAGACAGGGAGCACTATGGAAGACGATGTTCTTCAAGATGCGGGACGAACTCACCGTGACGAAGGACGATATCCCAGTGGTCACCGGGGCGATCAGCTCCGCCAAGAACAACCTCATGCGCACGAGTGGCTATAGTCCGGCTCAACACGTGTTCGGTGCCACGCCGAACCTCCCGGAGGATCTCGTGGAGGGACCCCATGCCCGTGATCCTGGAGACGAACCCGTGATCTGCGACAAGCATGCCCGGGACGTCGCCATACGCACTGCAGCGCGTGTCGCATACCACCAGGTCCAGACCGACGAGAGGGTAAGAAGAGCGCTAGCTGGAAGAGCCCGAGTACAAGATCGGACGCCGGAGGTTGGAGAGCAAGTCTTCTACTGGCGGAAAGCCAAGACGGCCAAGCGAGGATGTTGGGTGGGTCCTGCTACAGTGATTGGGCTGGAGGGCACCAATGTATGGGTCACCCGCGCCGGGAGATGTACTTTATGTGCAGCAGAGCACATCCGACCGGCCACGTCCGAGGAACTTGGACAGGCTTTCAGTCTACGCGCCGCAAGGGAGGACCTCGACCGACTTCTCAACCTGGACGACGCTGACGAGGAGATGTTCGACGACGAGGTCGAGGCTGAGGGTCCCAACAACACGGACGTTGAGTTCGACGTTGATGACGAGGACCTTGCCTTTGCCGAGCTGGATGTGGAAGACGGCGGGCCTCCTGGAAGAGACGGTCGCCACCATCGCCGTCGCGCCCGGGTTGCTCCATATGTCCTACAACGATACCGTGGGAAGGAACCTCCTCGACGCGAAGAAGAAGCCATGATGATGAAACGCGCAAAGACAGTGCGCTCGCGCGAAAAGCAGCTCGAGAAAGAGATACCCTGGGCAGAGATCCCTGAGGCTATGAGACCCGCATTCCGAACTGCTGAAATTCGTCAGTGGCAAGAACATCAGGAACACCACGCGCTGACGGCGCTGACGGTATATCGGAGTCCGAACGCGTCAGGAACTCCGTCCCAAAGGAAAGAATCCTCACGTCGAGGTTCGCCTACCGCGACAAGCACATGGGCAAGAGGAAGGCAAACCCCCATGATACCTCCATACCATGGAAGCCGAAAGCCAGGCTGGTGGTGGGAGGACACATGGATCCAGACGCCGACGCTGGCCTCGGAACCGTAGATTCCCCTACGGTGGCGAGGAGTTCGCTGATCGCCCTGCTGCAGATCGCCGCTTCCCGGGGCTGGAAGATTGCCGCGGGCGACGTGCAAGCCGCTTTCCTCAACGGCCTGGAGCTGAAAAGAAGTTTGTGGATGCACCAACCACGATGTGGCATCGAGGGTTTGGACCCCCGACAAATCCTGAAGATCCGGAAGGGCGTATTCGGACTTTCTGAGTCGCCACGAATGTGGTACGACAGACTCTGCCAGGTGATGTTGGGAGAAACCTTTGAGGTCGTCTATGCACTTGCCCACTGGATCCCTGCGTGTTCATGATGGTCCCCGTGGGGGCCGAGGACGAGCGGCCAAGCGCCTACGTCGCCATCCACGTCGACGACCTCCTGGTAGTGGCACCGGCGGAGATCAATGCCTCCCTCCGTGAGAAGATCAGCAAGCTGTTCCCCGTGGAGGACTGGGAACTCGACGAGTTCGACTACGTTGGCTCTCACATCAAGGCCTCTTCCGACGGCATCTTCATCGGACAAACGGCTTTTGTCGAAGGACGCTTGTTCAAGGTCGACTTGGAGAAGAACCAGGCAGGTGATCGACCAGCCACAGAGGAGCAAACCATCGACAACAGGTCAGCCATAGGAGCACTCAGCTGGATTGCTACCCAAAGCCGTCCCGACCTACAGTGCAGCGTGGCGTTTGCACAACAGGCCCAGAGGACACCCACTGGGGACGACCTAAAGTTCACCAACAGCATCGTCACCAAGGCCGCACGACACAAAGATCAAGGGCTCTACCTACGCAAGATCGACCTGGAGCGCGCCATGTTCGTCGTGTTCCATGATGCTGCTTGGGCCAACGCAGAACACGAGGAGGCAGAAGAAGGTTTCCAACTCACTGCGGAGGAGGTGAAGGCGGGGACCATTGAGGGGGTCTTCAGTGAACATCGCCCCCGACAGCCGAAGAAGAGCAAGTCCAAGATCGCTTCACAACTCGGCCACATGGTGATGATGTTTGACATGGACCTGCTCGAGGCCGTCAGGACAAAGGGTAGCCTATTAGAGTGGCGTAGCCAATCCTGCAAGAGGGTATGTCGGAGCACCTTCGGAGCAGAGACAATGTCGGCAGCCGAGGGCCTGGAGAGCGGACAATATGTGAGGGCCCTGTTCACAACGCTGTGCAACGGAAAATTAGCTGGGCACACCCAGGCTAGAATGGCCTGGCCCCTCATGTGTTTTACCGATTGCCGATCTTTGTATGATCACTTGCACAAAACAGGGGTACCTCGCATCCCGAGCGACAGGCGCCTGGCGATTGACCTCGCCTCCCTGCGTCAAGAGTTGAACTTGGAGCGATGGGGAGACCGGATCCCATTGCAATGGATTCCCACTGAATATCAGCTGGCAGACCCCTTAACGAAGCCACTTCGTACAGACTTTTGGTGGCAACAGATGTGTGAGGGAGTTTGTCTGCCACTTAAAAAGGGGATCTTCCAGTGGGGAAAAGAGAGGGGAGGGATTTTGAAGCAGTGTAAACCTGAAGATGACTTGTGTACCTGGACCCGCACTCATCCCGCAAGCATTCCCCCTTGAAGGTCAACCCGACGCAGAATTTGCGATAAATGTGTACAGGTGTGAACGAATCCCGCCGGAAAGGCACAAGAGAAGCTGCTGGATAGCAAAAGGGAGAACGTGCGCCGAGCGCATGTGGATAGGGTAGCGCGCCAGTGGCAGCGTTGCCCCTTAAGCTGTCACCTAAACCCTAAACCCTAAACCCTAAACCCTAAACCCTAGAAAAAGGGAATAAGGGCCTGCTCTGGGTCCTAGTGATCCTAGTGAAGGTTCAGAACCACCAAATGCCTGCAAGGAAGCCTGCTAACAAGTTTATGCTCCCAAGCCACCTGCAGAGAAATAAAGGGGAAGTGAGGGTTTGGGGTTTAGGGTTTAGGGTTTAGGGTTTAGGGTTTAGGGTTTAGGGTTTAGGGTTTAGGGTTTAGGGTGAGATCCGAGTGGCTGATTGATGAAGATGCCGACAACGTTGCGATACTTGTCGAACATGTTCTGATGGGGGCCATACACCTCACGAAACGGTCGGCACAGCGCCGGTCTGCAACTACAGGGCTTAGGGTTTAGGGTTGACCCAGTAACCTAGGCACAAAAGGGCTGCCCTTGTTTGCGTAAAGGGGATTAAAAGGGAACCTAGACCCCACCCCACCCCCACCCCCCCAAAAAAAAATGAAAAAGGTCACGTAATACTGGGCATCCTAGGTAACGCATGAAGCCACCTGTGACTTAGCTTGAATGGTGAGGACCTACAAGTGCCTTAAATTGGGAGCATATCACATGCACTCCATACCGTAACAGGAGCGAACCCACCAAAACGAATTTGAGGATGAGGTGTGTGAAGTCGACCAGGACTGGACTTGCACTAAGCCAATGCAATCACAGCCCGGTCACGCTGTTTTACGACTTCGCGAGTTCAAGCACTTGTGCAGCTACGCCTGAGTGCGTCCGGTCGGACCGCACAGCAACCTAAGAGCTACTGTACGAAACTACCGTGCTCAAAGGCACAAGCTCGGTACTTGAGCCAAAATATTGGCATTGTTACGAATTGCAAAACTACACATGCAAGGGAAAACTACAAGCTGCACTAGCACTAAGCAAGCACTCCATGCATACTTTGACCTGCTCACATTCGCCCCTCAGCCGAGGCTTCCGGCTCACCAAGAGCTCATAGTGCGACAAGCACTTCAGCAACGCGGCAAATGGGGTAGGGCGAGGGTGTCGCGTGCGACTCTGGTAGAGCCCGCACATCATGAGCATTGGCATGCGGCTTGGGCGGCAGCCCGCACTACCAAACGGACGCACGACGACAGCAGCCCTCAACGACCCTAAACCACCCCAAGTCGCGAGCGCTCACCTTTATGCAGGCAGGCGAGGCTCCAGAGTACTGGGCAGGTCTTTATGCTGCTAGTGCAAAGCTATGGTACAAATGGTACACTGTACACACTACCGGCCCTAAGCTACGGCTACGGCTACTCACCTATCCAGAACTACCCTACGGGCTACCGGACTCAGCGAGAGCCGCGCACATTGCTTGTGCCGCAGGCAGTGCAGCTCGCACGCGCTTCGGCGAGCGCACTGCCGCGACCAGGACACGGTCCGCAGCAGCCGCAACGGGCTGGGAAGAAAAGTGCGGGTAGGCAAAATGGGCAGGGAAAACCCCTGCCGCGGCTCTTCGCCCGCAAGCAAAACACAACCAAAAGAGGCTCGACAGCGTGCCGCGCTGTGATGCCTGAGAAATCGCGTGGAAGCCCCTTCCACGCCGCGCCGACTGGCCGCAGCCTACTCGATACCCTGTGGAGCAGTGTTGGGGGCACGAGTGACGTTGCCAGCAACGTTGGAGCTACTGGCTCGCTCCAACTGAGGGCGCTTTGCGGCCGCCTCATCGAGGGAGAATGCCTCAGCCGACACCCTCTGGAAATCCTCGATGTAGGACTGCACGACTGAGTGCGTCTTAGGGACCTCAAGCTTAAGCCCTGCCTCCGCATTGGCTTTGCTGCTTGTGGTAAAATTGAGGCTCCCAATCAGCACCACCGCGCCATCAGGCCGCAGTAGGCATAGGGCCTTGGCATGATGCAGCCCTTGAATCCCGGTGCCTACCTTAGCCCCGCGGCCGTCACGAGCATAGGCGTCGCGCACGGATGTGCCACAACCCACCTTCACCTCGGCACCTGCGGCCGCCAAGCGTTTCAACGCTTGCCACTGAAGTTTGGTGCGGTGGCATTGTCCCATGTCGGCGACAATCCGAACGCTTGCGCCCTTGCCAAGCGACGCTTCGATTGCCTCGATGCAGGATGGGCAATCCAAGCTGTACGCCCGGATGTAGATCACATCCTCTGCTGCTCCAGACCCAAGCAGCGTCTGGGCGGCCTGAACGTATGGCCCGCCCGCAAGGAATTCCGCTCCTTTGACTGGAGAACTCCTCGCGGGGGCTGGGCCCTTGTTCCTCCGGCCTGGCGTGCACGCCACAATGGCAGTGGCGGCACGTTGCACGGAGCCGGACTGTGCGTGGGCTGCGCTCGCTCCATCTGCTGGGGCCGCGGCCAGGTCACGACCCGCGAGCCCCTGAAAGCAGGAGAGCCCGCGGCTCTTGGCCGCAAGTTGGGAGAAACATCCTTCACTGTTTCCCAAACCCAACACAACCTTACCCTTAGCCAGGGCTTCGGAGGCGGTACTCCGAATGGAGTCTGTGAGCGCAGGACCCGCGCCTCGCTGGGCCGCGTGCAAAAACCCTAAGGAACGAGCGGTGTCCATTGCGGCATCGCAATGCCCGCAGCGTCCTTCTGCCAGGTAAGCACGACAGCCACAGGCAGCTGTCTCCTCCTTGAGGTGCACCCAAACCTTATGGGTCACCCCTTTCTTGGAGCTCGCGACCTCAAACGTCGCTTCAGAGCCAAGGAGTTGAGACAGCCGCGCCTCAGGGGCCGCGGTGTTGCCATGTCGCATATGCGCAATGCGATTGGCAACGGCACGACTCACGTACCACAGAACAGCACCGCACAAGATCACTACTACCAGAGGGCCGATTTCCTCGACAACGTCGGCCGAAACCGTTGCCACCGCGTGCATGGAGTCCTCGACAACATGCACAACCCCGCGGTGCAACTGCAAGGCAATCGGCGCCGACGCTGCAGCCGCCAGGCCCCACCAGCCGTTGATGTTCCCGTTGAGGGCGTGCATCAACCGATTGAGGAGCCCGCGACCCAGGAAAAAGGGGGTCCGCGGCGGAAGCGGAACACTTGGTGGTGGCCGGGCCGACCCGCACGGGAAAGCTGGGACCCAGCTTGTGCTTGGGCGGGGTTGGAGCGCGGCAACAATGCCCGCGGCGAAAGCGCCCCAGGCGTACTTGCCCCTCCCCTTGGGCTTGCCCTTGGCATCGGACTTGCCTCTGCCTTTCGGCTTGCCCTGGCCCTTGCCACGGGCGTCTGCCCAAGCACTCCAAGGGTCGCGGCCCTTCCCGTACGTCGCCTCTTCGCGACGTCTCTTGCCGCCCCTCTTCTTGTGTTTACTTCTAAGAAGAGGCTGGATGGTTTCCTGATCCATCGCGCGGTTGGCCAGAAGGATCTCGTACTCCAGCTCGTCCTGGCTGCTCTCGGAGCCCGAGTCCCTCTCTTCGCCGCGCCGCGGATCAGGGATCCCGCGGGAAACGACCTCTGCCAAGCGGAGAGGCGTGCTGCACCGAAAGCACAGCTGCCTGAATGAAAGGTTCCATTCATAGCAGTTAGGGCACTGCCACCCTGCTATGCGGAGCGCCTCGCTGATGTGATCATCGCGCTCCGCCTTCTCCGCCTGGCGCCGCTCCCGCTTCTTGGCGCGCTCGGCCGCCTGCGCCTCCTCGGCCGCCTGGAGGGCTTCAGCGAGTTCCTCATCGCTGAGGAGCCTCGCGGCATCTGCCCGCGCTTGTTGTTCTTCAAGCTCTTCGGCAGAAAACCTCCGCCGCCATTCAGTGCGAACCTCGGCGCGCATCAAAATGACGTCAAGGCTATCCGCGGCTGGGTCGCCCGCGAAGAAGGAGTCGATCTCCTTGGCATGGAGATCGTCAAGAGGCGTCACCAGGTCCGGCGAGTAATCTCGCTTGGAGCGACGCTCGGCCAGGCGTCGCTGGACGTCGCCCTTCGGCGGCTCGAGGGCCCGCCCGCGCGGAGCGGCCTCCCGCGGAGGTCTCGGCTCGGCCTCCTCTTTGGGCTCGCTCTTGGGCGTGGACCCTCCACTGCTGCTCCCTGGAGGGGGGTCCAGCTCGGGGTCCTCGCGAAGCCACCCCGGCGGATGGCTACCACCATAAATGTGGTGCGATCCATCCTCAAGCTGGATTCGGTCCCCTCGCCTCAGGAGCGGAACCCTCGAGTGATCGTACCCGTTGGCTTTGTGGTACCTAATCACTCGGAGCATGGGCACCTCCCCACACCCACCGTCCTTTCCTCGGCGGAACAGCCGTCCCCGCCAGTCCTGACGAAAAGGGTCAAGAGGTGCGGAGGGGCTGATCCCCAGGTTGGGCGGAAGAGAGGCGCCATGGCAGGCCGCCTGATGCAAGTGGTACTGCACCAGCGACTCAAAGGCCAGCCCGCATCCCGGAGCCGAACATCCGTAGTGGCCGTCAGCGTTGGGGCGAGGCTCCTCTGAGGCCGAGGCGGACTGGGCGGTCCCGCCTCCTGAAGGCCTTGCGGAACTGCTCGACCCCGCAACCTCGGGGGCGTCCTGACCATCGTCAGACACCTCTTCCCCGTCGGCGCCTTCCCCGGCCGCCCGACTCTCTCCCTCTCGGCGCAGTGTTTTGAGGGACTCCTCACGCTTGGTGATCTTCTCCAGCCTCACCATCGCAGTCCCCGCAACCTCCAGTATTTTCGACTGGAGCTTCTGCGCTCTCAGAAGAGCTTCGGACCGCGCGAGGTACTCCTTCGCGCTGGTGACCACCGACTGGCCGAGCACGAGGACTCCTTCCTCTGTGCTCTCGGCCTGGGCCCCACTAGCGGGCTCCTCGTCCTCCTTCACCTTGACCGCGGCTGGAGGCGCCCGCGTGTCGGGAAGATCCG